AGTGTAAGATAAATATTAACCTTTAATATTCACTATAAGTGTATCAGTAATTTTTCATATATTTTTCAGACAGCCGTTTCCATGTTCATTTCTAGAGCCCCAGTTTGCTCTGCTATTAATATGTACAGTTAAAATGAACCATTTTAATTTATCTCTGCCAAATGCTGGTATATAATCTATATGCATGGATTGATATTTATTTTCACTTCTCTTTTGTTTGTAAACGATGCAAATATAGCAAATTCCTAAAATATTTTTAGAAAATTTAAACTTTGTATGATGGTAAAATTCTACCTTTCGTAAACCATACTTAGGTATAGAAATTAATCTAAATACATATTTGATAATAAAAAAACGTAACTGGTTCATTTTTTAATCAACGCCGTAAATCCGCAATTTTTCAGCCATATTTTAGAAAGGAAGCTATTGAGTTTGATCGATTTTTGAAAGCTGTTTGTTTCTCGTATAAGAAGTACTAATAAGACAGGTCCTAAGATTCCGCCTAAAAGATTTCTAAGACTCTACTTCAGTCAAAGATATAGCAGGCTTTGTGTTACTAGCTGCCCTTGATCACTTTTCGTTATCTGTACATTTGATGAATAGAGATGCTCTAGTCCTCTTTTCCCTCAGATCGGAATTTTTTCTAACAATATATAACATTAAAAAAATTGTATAAAAAAAATAAAATGTAATGATTATGTACATGTACCTCATTAAGAAAATTTTCTATCCAGCAGGTAATGAATTCAAATTTTACATGTTTTACTCATGCATGTAAGTATAATATACGAACTAGAACAGATAGCGATTAACTTACGTGCATGCAGGTATACCTATTACTGTGTCTATATAGAGATAAATATTATACGTTACAGGCAAATAAAAGGTAGACTGACCAATGACACAAAACATAGATAAATATTTATCTACACTTTATTCTTCCTCATGTAACACATGGGACCTATTCAACAACTTAATCACATGTTTAAAACATCGTTAGCTGTAATTAATTGTTTTGAAATACCAACATAGACAATAAAATAATGGAACTAAGATATTACAGAATTTTACGCATCTGTTTCATATTTGGATATTTTACTTAAAAGGACGTTAATGGTAATCTAACAACCAAGCTCTATGCTAAACGTGATGACTAACTATTCTATCGTCAACTTCCCTTGCTTATGCAGCAATATACCTTAATCACCTGCATACGGAGTATATATACTCAACAAAAAAGAAACGCATATTCAGATTAAATGTGATAATCTAAGTTTTCAGTTTAAATCTTAATTTTTAAAAGTGATTTTAGAGTGTGTTGTGATAAAAATCAAACAAGTCCTATGTTCGAAATTGACAATTTTAGTTGATGTCATTGACGTCGCCTCCAAATTCTAGAGGCATACGTCTCAACCTATCCATATGTCCTTTCCGACCTCTCAGCGCTAGTAGATTTCCAATGAACGGACGTCGTGCACGAATACCAGCTCCTCTCAGTCTCTTGCGAACAATTTGTGCACTTTATGCTGATTTCTGCAGTTTGTACATCAGTTCTGAGTCGATTGCACAGGTGCTGAAGGAGGATCTGACGGTCCTGTCTGGGTGTGGTAACCCGCAGACGGCCAGTTCTTGGTCTGTCATCCGTGTTTCTAGCTGGTGGAGACGTGCCTTCAACTGCTGCAAAGCCGATTGATGTACATCAAAAGCAGTTGCAACTTCCAGTTGCGTAGCTCCGGTTTGTATCATTGTTAGGGCCGTGTTGCGTTCATGTTTGTTTAGGCGTGACATTGCAGCATCAACATTACAATCAAAGCAAAAATATGGGTTTAATAGGAGTGTTTATTGTTTCTCTAAATCCCAAATTCATTGAAAATAGACCCCCGATTTACGAAAAATCATGCAAAACACTTTTTTCATAAACATGATTAATCAAGGGAAATGACTCCACAATTTGGGTTTAAAAGCCCATGTTATACTTTAAATAGGTCACAGGTATCCAATGATTAAAAAGATAATAGTTCCATGTACTTTTTCAAAATTTCTTTGATGAGTTAAACAATATGCGTTTCTTGTTGAGTATATGTCAGTTGATTCGATGCGCAAGAGCATGTTCTACGTAACTATAAACAATTTCTAAAACGAGGTAAATTATTGACAAACAAGTGATGTAACAAGAATTTCAGATGTCTCGTTTAAGTTCGTCATTTCCCGAGTTCTATGGTCTAGACACAATGACCTTGTCAGCAAATTTGTAAAAAAAAAAAAAATCAGTAAAAAATTTGTCATTGAGTCAAATGCTGACTGACGTTTTTCACACTAATTGTTAGTCCATTATTTGTGCACTGAATACTCGATATTGCGATTACTTAACTTAACGGAACTCTTTTGCTATTAACAAACTAGTCTGATTAAAAAATGTGTGGTTTTGATAAAAGTCGATCATTTTGCAGAATTTATGGACAGATACTAAAAAATCTTGTTGGAATGACATTTTTATAACAATTGTGAACCAGCCTAATTTATTTTTACACACTAAAATTTACGGATTTTTTCAATTTTGATCATGCGTAATAAATTTTCATTGAAAAGTCACATTTTAATGCTGACAAAATAATCCATAGCACCTGATTTGACCACCTCTGATGTTTTGGAGTTCAATTCGTGGCAATACATTGTGCTTTCGGCATAATTTGTCAAATTGTTTGATGTCACTTTTTAACTTGAATACTGTTGACCCAGCTTTCGCGAGATATATTTTATTCTCCGCAAAAGAGCGATTAAATTAGATGCCAATATCACATATATTAAATGATGTCCTCCAGACGGGTATACACATAACTATTAAGTGATAAAAATGTTTATAAAATGTACCACACAATTCAATATCAAAGTCCATAAAACAATACAAAATAATCCATCTCCGAAACAGTTTCATGAGAGATTTTTTTGTGTGGAGGTCTGTTATTTCTATGTAAAATGCATGAATATAATTATACACATCTGCTACGTACTTTACCCACAGGATAGATGTTTAGAGAATTGAAATTAACCTTTACAAAAAAAATTTCCTTAATTAGTTTCAGCTTTCAATGTCCTTGATGTGAGTAGATTTTTAAAAAAAATGCCACATAATTTTCGCTATTTCTGAAATATCTCCCCTTGAAAGAGGACATGGCTCCTCATTTGAAGAAATTCAAAGAAGAAGGTATGGTTTTAGCTTTATTGCGCCCAAAAAATGTAATGACATCAAAAAGTTTTGAAACTGGCTTAAATATTAGTTAAATAAATGACTCTGATAAATCAGGAAAGAATATGGCATGAAGGTTTACACACTCAATATACGTCATTAATGTGAAGCATTTCTCTATTTTCAACAGAAAAAGCCTCAAAATGGCACATTTCAAGGGTAATTTTCCATTAGAAAACAGTGTCCACAGCCGTCGCCCACGTTACTTTTTTGATATTTTGTGCAAAATTCAATTACAAATCACATATCTCAAGATCTTTGTGGGCGATGCCTGTGGACAATGTTATCTGAAAGAAAATTCCATTGAAAATTGGTGTCTTCTGCAACATTTTAAGAAAATACGGGAAAATGCACATGTTTATGACGTCATAATTAGCATTCAAAACACATGTCAGAAAAATGACTTGTATGATTTTTCTGCATTAAATTTCAATTATTTAAAAAGCATGAGTTTTCAACTTTTACACCAGTTTCATTTTTAGAAAATCACAGGGCAAAATTTGTATGGAAACCATACCTTCTTCTTCCCATCAACAAAAATGCTTTCTGCATGTTTGGTTGAGTGTTGGCTCAGTAGCTTTAGAGAAAAATCCGAAAATGTGGGGGAAAAATCACAGAACAACAAGCACGCAGACAGACAGACATATTACAGACAAAATGTGATTAGAAAAATTCACTAGTGCTTTCAGCTTAGTTGATTTAAAAAGGGAAGAAAAAACTTAGTCGAAAAGACCACAAATTTTATAAACACCATGTCACAGGGTTGCATAAAAAGTCGCCCACTTGGCGCAATGGTTAGAGCGTCTGCTCTAGAGTCACGAAGTAAGGAGTTGATAATTACGTCGCAGATTCGAATCCACTGTAGGACAAGGAGGCCGGTCTTTCGGATGAGACCGTTTAAACCAAGGTCCCGTGTCGCAATAGGTCTCGAAAAAGATCCCCCATGCTCAATGGCCTAAGTGCCGAGAATACGACAAACTTTACAGCTCTCCACTGGCAAATGGTGACGTCTGAAACATTCTCGAGAGGGACGTTAAACAATAGACAATCATCTTTTCTGCTAAACAAGGAGAACAACTGAATATTACTTATTGTTTAACGTCCCTCTCGAGAACTTTTCATTCACAAGGAGACGCCACATCCTAACGGTGGAGAGCTGCACATTTTGACTACTACTCGGCCAGTGAGCGAAGAGGAATCTATTTCGTGCCAACATCTACTGCGACATGTAACCTGGATTCAAAGGACCAATCTCTATACGTCCTCTGGTCGGATTTGAACCCGCGACAGAAGGATCAACTCCTTACTTTGAGACTCTAGAGCAAAGGTTTTAACCATCGCATCAAGCGGCTGAATGTTCGTAAATTTAGCAATCTTTATACCTTTGAAGAATCTTTGAACCGAAATCTCATGAATCTTTTGAATGAGCAACCATCCTTGTGTGCAGCCCTATTGAATTAATGATCAGTATGCTCCTTCGCTGGTACGTTCCTAACCCCCAAAACAAGGTAAACTAACTAATTTTATATAAAAACATAATTATAGTAAAGATCGGAGAGCACTCGAAGATTCAACTATGCTATTCTCATGAGACTTGAAAAAAAATCCTCTTCTACATGTACCGCCGGTCGATCTAGCGACTCTAGAATCGGTAATTCAACTATTGCAGGCAGAGAAAAAATGTAGGCTCATCCGCTTGCACAATAGCTACATAAAGGAAGTTACAAGGGCTAGAAAGACGAAAACAACATCGTTTATAAGATGTGTTTTTTAAAATTTATTAACAAGTTTGAACTTAGTTCATATTAAAGTCTGTGAGACAATGCTCACTAGTAATACCCCCGCTCTAATGTGAATTTAATGCTTACAGACGCAGGTACAAGTTGATATCGATATCGTAAAAAATGAATCCCATCATATAGCAATCTTTAACGAAGAGCGTGCTAAAGTATCTGCCTTGAATGATTGATAACGAAATGCGATAAAAAAGTGGTATTAACATAGGCAATGATGAACAGGGATTTGACAGAAGATTTATACCAAATGAATTCACCAGATGAAATTGTTGCAACCACGACTATAATTACGTCCACGCATGTCAAAAGAAACAGTATGCTAAAATTAAAAGCATCAACAAACTTAAGAATAGTTGCTGAGGAAACTGTGACATATAATTTGTTACGTACAGACAGACACACAAGAGTAAGAAATAGGATTATCCTAATTCCTTCGGAGCAGGGGTATAAGTAGTGAAGAATACATATTTTAACATTGGTCTTCTGTGACGCATAACGAAAAAATTGATCTATCTATTGTGGATGTCTAGGTATGGGACTCAGCAGAAATTGATATAACAAGCGTTTCTCAGTTGAGATCAAATTTAAGATGTTTTTCACATTTTGACCTTTCGTCTCTGTGTTTTTCAATTGGAACAGATAAAAACAGGCAATTAGCTTCCTCACATGTTTCCCTTCGAAGACCCTCGGGGTTCATTGATGGCCATCTATCACAATTAGAGTCACTCGGCTTAAAGTCTGAGGATGATTGGGACATACATTCATTGTTATTTTTCCCTCCCTGGAGAAGTCTATTGCTTGACAAATCTAAAGGTTTCTCCTTTTCAACAAAACTGGTCATGGTATAAGAATGGCGGGAACCCTTCCTCCACGTGGACATAATGGCCGACCTAGAATACACATACCGCTCTCTGTGACAGAGAGAGTATTTATACCAAGCCTTGCGGATTTCAAGCAACACCTAAGAAAACAAAAAAAAATATTAATTCATTTAACATTCAAGAAATAGATATTACTCTTTACGAAACTGTTTTTGTTGATCCTCGTAGGACACAATTTTGGTATAACTTTAGGGTTTATTGCATTTAAACGAAACTGTGAATTTTGCTATAAAATTCTTAAAAATCTTTAAATGTGATTTGAAACAAACATGACTCTAGATAGTTGATAATAAAATAGTAATGATATTAAATATATGCTCCAAATTCCGTACCTTTCATATCTTAAATTTGTACAAGTATACTTAGTTCAACATAAGTAAAATATCTATGATGAAAGATATTTAATATTTTTATTTAAACTCTCCGTGTACAAATTTTTTAATGTATAAAAATGCATAAACAAAAAACTGTATCATATTGAACATTCTACCATTTGGACACATTATTGTAAAACCAGAAATTCATAAATAAATTGAAAACCAGTAATGATATTCAAAAAGAATTTCCGAGTACCGAAAACCATAGGTGATTAGAAAGACCTATAATACTGTGATCATAATAAACATCTATTTGTTTACGATGGTTTCATCAATTTTCGTTGCCATTAATTTTCGTGGGTTTTGTAAAACAGACGTATTCGAGGATACGTAATTTCGTGGACTAAAACATTGTCTATACAAATCAATAACATATTCCGCAATTCAATGAACATTTAATTTCGTGGATCTCCTCAACAACGAAATCCTCGAAAATTGTTGCTCGACGAATATTGAAGAAACCACAGTATTTGTTATTTTAGAATTAATTATAAACAGGTAAGTTGCACTCACTTCTTCGTTAAGAAAACAGAATAAAACAGCCAGTATAAAGCCCTGAAAGAGAGACATTAAAAATAAAATAGTTTCTACTTGTATTTTTTCTGCAAATTAAAGTTTTGAGTTGAAAGAGTAAAACTCATTTACATTATGAACCTAAAATTGGTACAAGTAAAAGAAAATATTGAATGATTCAAATTCATCCTTTACATGTAATTATTCTAAAACATATAAACTAAGTTGAATAATAATTAAAAATCAATTTTCTCATTTTGAACGTCTATTAGAGTGTTTTACAAGAATGATTATATTTACAGTTACTTCTCTTGTAACAATTCTTCTAAAAAGATAGTAGTAAAGCAAACGAAACAACATAAGGAAAATGCATTGGAACAGTTATTGATATGTCAAACCTCGTTATCTCAAACTAGATGGAACCCAGAAAAAACTTATCCGAGGACAGGAAATATCCAGGGTTTCATACATTAAGAATTAGTGGTTTGGACTTCCACTTATTGTCGAATTACCCATTGTATTGGAGATATCAAAGTTCGACTGTATTTCATTTGATGAAATACAATTCTAGCCTTGACGAATACTTACCTGGAAGGAGTTATAGAACATTTCTACATACAGGTACGGGATATCTCGTTCAACATCGATATCATTCCCAGAAAGGAAAGAAAAGACTATGTAACAGACCCCAAACAACGGAATCAAAACCACAATAAACTTGGCCATCTTCCTACAAGTGAAGAGAGGCATAAATTTAAAATAAAATACATGTATTCTGACAAAAGTCCTTTGAAACCATACAAACGTGGAGCGGAGCAAACACGAAGTTTTTTAATATCTCTGAGATTTCGAGCCACGAGTATGACTGTTCGACACAAGATGCTCACTTATCCTGATTCCTCCTTTGATGTCACATGTACATGTATCAGGGAACTTCGTTTGCTCTGCTCCCAATTTTAAAGCGTTTTTGATAGTGTTTACTGTTTGTTACACGTACGTGTTTATCAGTGCATGTATATCCATATTTCATTCATGAGAAGACGTGATTATTATATTTCTTGAATTCATCATTATATCCACTCTAGCACATTTGTTTAGCTTGACTTACCGCACCTTCCTCGCCCCGGTAACGCGTTGATTTTTCTGTACTCTGATGAATAAGACTTTTACAATGTCAAGAAAAAATATGAAGTTTATCTGAAAAATATAGAATAAAAAATGTCATTTTGACACACAAAAAACTATAAACTGAGTTGTTATGTTCAGTTAAGTACTTTAATGTGAATTTTGTTTCAGGGGGCATAGAGAAGAATTAACTCTCAAAATGGTTATTTCAGGCTTGTAAATTACATTAATGCAAACTCAGCTGATAAAATTGTCTTACACTTTTTTAAAAAAAAATCACTCTTTATGTCCTTTTCATTTGACAAAAATAAGAAATTATAAATTGAATTAGAGAAATTGCATTGCACATACTATGTAGATTGTAAAAAGGGGTCCACGTAAAATCCAGAGGTACTCCGGGGATGGATTTGTGTTCCAGCAGCTGCAAAAAGTCTATTTGATCAATTACAAAATAAATCTATATAAACCAAAACATATTTTTCAAGGTTTTATATTTTTCATTAATACTGATAATTAAAAAAGTTCTTTAATATTGCAGTGAATTAAACTTTTGCAGAAAGTTGTCCAAGGTAGCTGACGAAAATTTTGTGATCAATGGTTTTATTTTTAATAAGAACCAAAACTATAGTCTTTCTTTATAGTTATTGAAATTAATCTGTTGAAATATGATGGGACATGACCAAATACTTAACTCACTAAATAAGAAGGGAACATCCATATACTTATAACTTTTAGTAATGCATATTAATTTTTGGCCAAACTTACAAAAAATCCTCGAGTTTAGCTCTGACGATAATCCAAGGTATAACAAATGTAAGGGGACCCACTGAAAAGAATAAAAACAAAATAGTCATTTGACCATCAATGGGTGCATCTAATAACGATTTCAGGTTAAAAACCTCCGTAGGTTGATGATACATGTAACATGATAAAATAAATTCACATAAACAAAATCCATAATGCATTTACACTTCTTATGTTCATTTTTTAAAATCATATGAGTGAGCATACTTCTTATTTTTCATAGGGAAACGTTATCATTTGCATATTCGTAAGACTTTTTTAAAGTTCCATTTTTAACTTACACCATCCAAATACGACGTACAGTTGTACGCCATGCTTTTCCGTGAACATGGTTTTATAAACCATCATGTACAAATATAAAGCTTCCATAAAAATCCACATGGCGCAGGCGGAAATGGTGTACACAAACAGCGTGAAAAGGAGCTTACATTCCCAGTGCTGGAAAACAAGAAAATGGTGATAATTTTTATGTGTCTCCAGCTATGTTTTTTTTTTTAATTTTAACTAATCAATATAAACACTTCGTAATGGTTTTTCTTCCAAAAGTCTTCAACTACGGATTAAACCTTTAAAAGTTAAACTATCAACATAATTGTTTAAAAGCCCATTCAAACAATAAAAAATTGGATCAGAGACAAGGACCTCTAAAACATCAGTGGTGGGATCATGTACCAAGGAGGAGTGAGCATCCCCTGCCGACCGGTCACACCGCCGTGTGCTTCTTGTCATGTTCGGGAAAAAGATCTAAATCGTTTTATAAATATACTACTATTCCATACGTACTTACTGTTTCGCCCTCCCTGAACCTTAGGACGCCACTAACTTCTTCTAGATCTTTTTTAAAACCCAATCCGTCAACAAACAGAGTTTCCTTTAGAAAGGACAGGAATGCCCTTAAAATAAAGGCAATGAAGAGATTGATGTGTAGAGTGTTACTCTTGGATGAAAGTTTCCTGAAAAGTAATTAATATGAATTTGTTTATCAATAATTTTCCTGATAATTTATGATTGTCTTATTATGAAATAAACATTCCAATTAATTTACCTTTCATAAAGTTTTCGGAAATGATATATCATTAACAGGTATATGCATGTTTTCAACATGATCACCAGAATAAGTTTTTCTTTTAAATAGAATCTATAAATTAATGTAAAAAGATTACCACAGACAAACAGAAACGCAATCATATCTCTGTTTTCATGACATGCATAATTCAGAGAAAAATTTGCCTGTTGTTGCGTTTTCTAGAAACTCATTTTCACACATTGCATGCTAATTAAATTTAAAAAAAGTTCAAGCATACTTTAACATTGATATTTTGAAATGAGAAAGAATAAACGTAAATGCTTTATATTCAATGTTTGTTGTTTTGTTTTTCTTCATTTTTTTAATATAATGATGAAAAAGAGGAATTATATATACAGAGGCAAATGACTGAAGCTTTTATATTTAATATTCTTCCTCCCTTTCATAATTGTCATATGTCAAAGACTAATTTAGAGACAAAAAATTAAAATTCATTCACCTGTTTCTTGTTTCATTTACAAGGCATCTAATGAACAAACCGTGAAATTATTTATGTACAGTGCTGTTCGTCTTACAAATTTATCCAAATGAAGAGGTGATAAATGAACATAAGATTGAATTGATGGAGAATATAATATTTTTACCTGCAGCATAACATAATAAACACAGCGACCACCAGTGAACAGAGGGACACTCCATACCCGATGTTATACATCAGTCTGATTCGTGCTAGATGGTCCTGTAACGTCAAATCAAATAATATCATCCCAAATGTTAAATAAAATGAAATTATATTACCTATTTACAGGTGAAATAAAAAGAGAAAAATGCCATATATGGAAATAACAAATAATACACAAGCTCAAAGTCCACTGAATAAAACAAAATTAGAGCAGAGCAAACATGGATCTCCAAAAGATCAGAGATGGGATCAGGTGCCATGGAGGAGTGAGCATCCTCTGCTGACCGGTCACACCCGCCATGTGCTCATTTTTATGATCAAACTAATGGAAAAGTCCGTCGATAATTCAATGCAAATATGTTGGGACCTAACATTAGTATGAAAAGCGTCAGTCAGCATTTTATCCAGAAATCAGTCCAAAAAATCAAAGAATACAAATTGCGAGCATCTCAAACTTATGTAAACCTAATACAAGCAAAACGCAAAAACTGATAAGGTCACATAAAGTTATTTAATTTGATCTTAATCAGGGACGACCTGATTAGTCTGACTGTATAAAAGTAATCTATAAGATATTAAATACGAACTTAAAACAAATTGCATTTAAACGATCAAAGCATTTTTTTAAATGCTGACGAACGAAATACTTCAAAGCCCTGTAATGTCTAAGTTATTTGTCACTGTATGCTACAGTTTATAAATTTATCACAGTTAGAAAATGAGAAGTTCCTGTGCAGCTATTCAGATGAGAGACACAGTGGATGTCGATGATGAAGAAAACTGAATACCATTAGTGCTATAGTTTAGTTCCGTCTTTTATCAATATCGATGGTGAACATCAAAGAATGAAATAGACATTTTAAATTTTGGTGTGTTTTTCTTTTCCCTTTTCGGATATATCGAGTACATTGGAAAAATTATTAAATACAAAAAAAATCAAATGGTATTCGGAGATAAAAAAAAATATAAGAAAAAATAGTACATACATAGACACATATTATTCAGATAAAATGCTTCGTTAGACATCGCCGGATGAAATTTAAAAATATGTATTTAGGATATATGAGTGAAACAAAGAAAACTAAACCTACCAGTAGATCATTAGGATAATCATCTTTGTTTTCCTTCACACAGTCGCTGAAGTCTGTCCAGCTGACATTACGTTTTGGTGGGATGTACCACGTGCCATTCTCTAGACACTGTCTTTTGGCAAAACCTGTCAAGTACATTTTGTAAATGCAAAATCAAAGAGATATTGGAAACTTTCTCTTTTAAAATATGTTATTTCATATGATCAAAATGTCGACGTTTTACATGTCCTTACACATAAGTCTTTTCATTTGACTGAAATAATTAACAAATTAAAAGCCATAAAATAACATTATAAAGAGGGAAATTAAAATATCATCATTGTTCGTGTTCCGTGTTTTTAAAACAAAGCAATGTAAAAAAAAATATCATAAACTAAAACCTTTCAAAAATGCTTAAGTATAATTATGGAGAACACTGAAATATTATCTGCTGATAGGAATAATTAGTCACGTGTTGTGCATTGAGACCAATAATTGGAGATAAAACATTCATGTAACAAGGCCAAAGAGTATTTCTCATAAAAAGTCCAAACATTTCCAAGTAGTAACATCTATTTTTTCATTATAAGATATATAACTAGTAATAAACTCTTTGACTAATGACAAATGAATTTAGGATATTGCTGTTACTGAATCTAAGTATATAATGAGTCTACATAATTAAGATAACTAACTTAAAAAAAATCAAATATCAAAAAGTTACAAATTCCTAAAAGCTTTATTGTAATTCCCAGCTGTTTATTGATCTTTTGTTTTCCCCTCAACCCTTAACTTACTGATTTATTGAACGGATAAATCTGTTGTAAATTTAATCATAAACTTAATGCTTATTCTAAGTGCATATTAAGGTCGTATGCAACGTAATTTGAACTATATTGAGTTCTTGAAGTTGAAGAGTTCCACTAAATGAAGGACCTATGTGCATACATTTAATGTCTTTTAAAGTCTATATATCTGAAATCTATGTTTCGTAATTTTTGTACATTTTCTTTGAATAACGCAAAATGTTTCGTAATTTTATAACTTTTTAAATCCCTGGTAATGCATGCTGAATTTTTGCCTTAGAACACGTAATAGTATTATAAGTTTAAATTTACAATATCTTAGAAAATTATCAGCAGATAAGGTAGCTTGCGTATGTCCTCAAATGAGAGGTTTCATATGATTACAATGTCATTAAAGGGTATTAGACATTTTTACTGAATTTTTCTTCATAGAAATATAGGAGGAACTGTTAATAACGATGTACAATAAGTGCCTATGGAAATTCAATGAGATTGTCGGAAGATAGTCGGTTAAAAAAAAACTGTACGCTAATAATGACTCAATTTACATATATTACCCTTGTTTTGTTGGCGTTTAAGTGATACAGTCCATGAAGTCATTGACCTTACTCCTGGGGACTGTTGTTTATATTCTAGATTTCCTTCATTGCATGTCATCCCTCTATTTGATATTTTATGAATCTGAACACACAATCTTTGAAGAATGGTAATGAAAAAGCACAAACTTAACTTTCGGAATACTGCTCAGAGAATTAAAACAAAACAAATCTGTGATAAATTGAAATTGTTAAAATCAATAAGAACATTCTATTCACCTATTTCGAAGTATATTTTATACCACACCACTTTATTTCGCTTCCTAAAACCAAGAATAAATTTCATCTTTTGTGGATGAAAAAGGGGGTCGACTTTTCCTCACTTTACTTTTATTATCTTTTTAACCTTAATAATACTTAAAGTTACCTTTCTGCTGAAAACAAAACCAAGAATACAATGGTTTAAAAAAAATGGCAAAAAATTATAAAAAATCAAATAATCTTATTAGTGTTCTGACAACTTCCATGACATTTTTGATCGAACATCTCACTATCGTGTTCAAACATAATTTGGCAGACTTCTGACAAATGAGTTGATATTTAGGACTTTTAACATTTGAAATACTAGTAAGCACTTTGTAAATGCTATGATCTTTGTTATGACATTGTTTGCATACAAAACATTGTGAAGCGTAGAATGACTGAAATTTTCCAGCCTCATCGATATACATGTACATTTATGTGAACTGTTTTTAACAAATGTTTTGATGAGAGGGCTTTAACGACTGTGAGCAGTCCTGGTAGGAATGTTTACTCCTTGAGCACACCTGATTCAACTTTTGATGATGCCAGATTCCTGTTTTTTTTTTGTTTGCTCTTTTTCACAATTTTTCCCTAATATAATTTATGAAATTAGAATACTTAATGTTTCTACATTGTTCATAAAGAACCACTGATATACACAGAACGATGGTTGATACCTACCGTCTGTATTCAGGCCTTCTATGTAGGAGGGACAATGCTTCCTGGCTACAGTTCCCGCTAGAGTTGCTTCCCAGCACATAATTTGATCCCAAATAGGCTCACAGTATAGACCTATTGGATCAAAAATATGTCAAATAACGAATATGAAAAATTTCAAGGTGAGCGATACACTTAAAACTTGTGCTAGGAGCAATATAAATTGATTATTGACAACATTCTATGCAGTAAAGGCATATTAAACAAATCTTGTAAAAAGGATGTATATGAATAAGCATTTCTCAATGAAAGCTGCTAGCTACTTGTAAACCAATATTTAGCATGTAGTTTTCAGACTGATGTTGAAATTTATGAACATTTTAACACAGAAACCCACTAATATTTTGTTTTTATTCGAATGCTTAAAACTAAAATGGATCCAACAGGTATATGTTAGCTGCTTAAATCAGAGACACATACTTACTGAAATACTGTTTATCAATGGTACACAATTGTAAGGAGTACAGTTGTAACGATTTGTAATCCTCCTCCATTTTTTGTATTTAAATACGTTAAACAAATGTTAAAGAGAATAGAGAATTCAATCACATGCACTCAGTGGTTAAACATAACCTGGTCATAGAGACTACAAATTCCCATCCATCGATTTTCCTCTATTCTAAGACAATAAAATAACCAGATGATATCCATTTACAGTAATGTGACCGAGCAGCTTATTTTCCCTTTCTGAACGGGAAGCTATCAATGTCAAACATTTATATTTATGATGTGCGACTGCCTATACCATATAATTGCTACACGACAAGCTAGCATATCTTTTTAAAATTATCATTGGGATGAAAATGGTCATGATAGTTTAGGGCATTACACATTATCATATTAATGCCATAATGAATGTCGTTTTGTAATTATTTTACTTTTAAATTTGTACTTTGTGTTTATAATTTAAAAAACAAAGACAAGAAATAATCACAAAATGATTTTGAAGTAGAAATATAAATTCATTCGGTTTGTCTGTTTTATGGTTACTGTTAGGAATATTGGTTACATTACATATACATGTAGGCATGTAATATTGTAAATTTTCACATTGTAAATGATCTAAAATGAAAATTGGAGTGAAACTGTGGAGCAATTGTAAAGTATACATTGTACTTATCGAATTATTTCTATAAAAACCTCATGATGATTTTTTTTTTACGTTTTTTAAGATTAATTTGTGAAATCGGGGTCTCCATAAGCTGTATAAAAATTCTCATGATATCAGTTAACGTAGGAAGACTGTGATACAGTATGAATTCCTTCAAAATGTGCATATATTGTCCTCGTCAAAAATGCTGCACAGTTATTGAGAATTCATATCATTTGTAAAGAATTCAAATCATTTAGACATTGAACCTTCCAGGAAAGTTGAAACTAACAATGTTACACTTAGAGCCCTCCTTTTTACAACATAAGCCAACACGTACTTGTAACGGACTGATTGAGGCATTGATTTTTGATTTTTTACATTACGTTTTCCTGATCAAGACAAGCGGTTGTGACTGGTTGGCGAGGGATAATCACTCAACCATGGCACCTGATCCCATTTCTGATGCTTTTGGAGGTCCATGTTTGCCCTGCTCCCCATTTGTATTGTTTAAATGTAATTTGAGATTAAAATTGTTGTCTCTATATTTCGTTATACTATACCTGACTGTTTGTATTGTTAGAAAAGACGATGCTTTTTCAAAGTATTTAATAGAAAATTGTTTCTAACAAATGAACTTACTGTTGGATGAAATATTATAGTTCTCTATGATGTCTCTACAGTTACTGTTAGCCTTCTCCAATTCTTGTACTTGCTCGTACTCTTCATTTGAATCCTGTAAAAATAAATCATTAGTGTAAAATTCACAAAAAAAGCTTGCTGCTTGATTTATGTTTTTTTTTCACTATGAATAAAATGTCCATGTATCTAATAAGATACAATATTTAAATATAAACAGTAGATGGAACGTACATTTGTAAGAAACGTAAATACACGATACGATCTCCACGTCTTATCCATTCTCATTCATTGTCTTATATTAGAACTGTTCATGTATAATCTCCTCTAAATTACTCCTTTATTTAGGTGTGAATAACAAACTGAAGCCGTATAAGGAGGGCACGACAGCTTCAATTCTCTTCTCTAAACACCAAGACACAATGATGACAAGAAGACACATGACTAGGTCCCTATTACTCACTTTACTGTCATGCTTGAAATTGTTGGACAGAGAGATATCTGCATATTACACATTTTATTTCAATAAAGTTTTTATCATAAACATTATTTAGGCAAAATCCCTGACACTAAGGTACAGTTATACATGAATGGAAATAGGCATAAAGAAATCGAAATATCCGATAGAAACACTCATTAACCCATCTATAAAATAATGGTTGTTTGACCCTCACCCGATGCAGGGTAAAATTATTTGGTCGGTAGGTAAGTTGGAAAATATTTTTTAAAGAAAATTTCAACATGTAGTTCTCGACGGAGTATGAGGAATAAGAAAAAAAAATCTTTTACAAAAGTTTTCATTCGGGTCATGAGAGGGCATCCAAACAATTTTTAAAGATGTCCCAAAATACATCATTCGTTTTTATTCTAAGTTCTAACTTGTGCTAATATAATCTATTTCGAAAATCGATGTTTTAAATACGTAGGATATGATGCAAGTTGACGTTTTGGCAGTTTTTAATGAGTTTTTGTTTTCTGTGCATGAGAAAAAACACACGGCGAGTATGTTCAGTCGACAGGGGAAGCTTCGTACTGATTGTCTTTTACTTTAGATATAAGACTGTGTTAATTACCAAGAAATGCATGCATAAGATGACAAAAAATAGCAAGCCTTCTAAATCGAACCTTAAAAGAATTTCATGAAAATTTTATAGCATTGCCAAAGTTTATAGTAAACATAGAAAAGTGCTTCTGAATATCGATTGGCTCTTCATAATGGATTTTCTAGCAAGTTTGTCCACGTTTAAAATATTTAAATTTTATGAAATCAGCATGATGGACAAACAACAATTAAATTCATTTAATGTGTTCTTCTCCTGCAATAGAAAATGTAAATTTAGAAAAAAAAAATTCTTGCACAAATTAATTGCATGAAGCTAATTATAATGAACATCAATCTTTTTTAATGCTTATTAAATTTGATTTTAATGACAAATTAATGTGTTCCAGACATCAACGTTTATTTTGAAAATGACAAACTGGGCTCAAGACGTAAACATTTGAACCCCAATTTGAAATATTAATTAAAAGTAGGCTACGTCTCGCACATACAGGATCTTCGATGATTTGTAGTTAGATATGATTTTTATCCAACGAATTTTGTGTTGTTTTTTTTTATATATAAAAACACACAACGAGTTGGATTAAAGTCATATCAAACTACAAATCATGGGATATTCTTCTTATTCCATGTTTACTACTTGTAGTTCACAATCAATGTTTTACACAGTTTTTAATATTGGACGCAACTTTATTTTACTTCCTCAAACTAACGCAGAAACATTGTCACAAAATCAAAATCATAACTGCACTTAACTGTGAGATATCAAAAAATATTATCCAATGAATCATAACCACGGGATAAAGGGGTAAAAATGGGATAGACCTTAATATCACGGACGTTCAAACATATATATCCATATACTTTAATTAAATCTGGGAAAATGAAAGCTTGTTAGTTTGCTTTTTACGGATCCGGCGTGTTATGTTTTTGCCAACAATTATCAAAGATCCTGAACATATCCTTTCTGCTCTGTCCGTCTTGGATTAGCGATTTAAAGCATTCTCTGTCTATTTGTCTACCACTCTGTCTGTCTTTCAGTTTGTTCCCAAAGACGTAAATACTATTTTGCTTCAATCTACGATTATATTTTTATATTCAGTAATAATTTTCTTTATGAAACATATGGAGATAACGAACAGTTTCAAGATCAAAAGTCAATAAAAACAATACAAAACAGGAGCACAGAGATACTTATGAAATCCATAACGTTCAGATCTCTATAACATACGCGAAACCTTGTTACCGCGCGTTAAAATATACAGTAGGAACTGTATGCATTTTCAATACTCTAGAAACACCAAAGGTACAATGGTTTGACTCAAGTTAATAAGAAAACTATAACCCCTTTAAATATTAAAGTAAATATAGACAAATGTGCGTTTTAAATTAATTTGCCACTTTTCCCCTCCAAATGTTCGCGCGTTACTCAATTTGTCGGCATGACCAGGTGTGTTATCTAACATAGGATCGACGACATCCAAAAATATTAATCTAATGCTTAAAATAGTTCTTTCACTAAAAATTACAAACGACAAAAGTTTATAAATCTTTTTGTCATTGAAAAGGAATTACAATTTTGCTAAAAATAATTCAGGTATCAGAGTTGCGGCACATATTGCTTTAATCAATTTAAACGGGAATTATCATTTTAATCTCATGCAAATGTTTATATGAAATATAGAAACAACAAAAATATCCCTGTACTTGAAAATTTTGATTATATACAATGTGCCTTCTTTTTTAAACATAATCTAAGTTTAGATTTTACTGGTTATGATGCATTATCCAATTTTTGAGATATGGGGAAAATATAGAGTTTTTAGGCCTAAAGAAAAATATACGTTTACTTTTTCAAAAAGAAACTTAGAAACTGTTTTAAAGAATGTCAACTATTTGTATTCCAAAAATACAAAAACATTTGCTCATTTTCTCCAATTAGAAACGAAGAGAAATTTCCTTAGGATCAGTGACCATGCATTGATGCAAGCAGTTGTAAGTCAGAGATGGCTGCTCTAAATGTAGAGTTTGTCATACCTCGGTATAACATTTCTTAGGCGGCTACCGTCTTTATTCGTGTCTTTTCTATTTTTGATAAATGTATGTTTAATTGACACTATCTTAATTCTTTGAAGAAAAAAAAATGCTATTATTCCTAAATACAATATATATGAAAAGATTGATTATTTTCTTGCATTATTTATTTAAGAGATTGCAGCATAATAATAATTGTGAACCGTGGATTTATTACTATGCACTAAGTGAATAGTTAATGCTAATTTTTGGTTTTTATAATTACTGCTTAAGCTCTTATAATTTTTGATTCTATATTAAAAATATTTCAAGCAAAAAGAACAGCCAAGCCTTAACTTAAAATGTTCATTTATACAGCGATGTAAAATCTAAACAAGCATCAATTTACTTGTCAGTGAGCTGTTTTCTTTTCACAAATGAAACAAAATTTTAAATATTTAACAACTAAAATGACACATTTGCTACTCAAATAAATTAATCTCGGCATTAATGATTTATTTTATGACAAGGTCAACAGATGGGGCCGTAAGTGCGGCATGAAGTACAGCCAGATGTTAAATTTCCTCTTGACCTTTTTTAAATGGTTGTGTTTGCGGTGATTCGAAGTGAAAATTAAGTTTTTATAACAATTCTTCATTCCACCCACACTGACACCATGATGTTTTAAAAACTACATTTAAGAAAAAAGTTTTAAGATTTTAATGATTAAGGGTTTAACTGTACATTGATCTTCTGTTATGGAAATTGAATGTTTACTTTATTTAGTATTCTTGCATTCACACATCATTCTGTTTTATTTTTTGTTTTTAATATTTTTAATCTCCAAAGATGTATTTATTTGGCCAATTATAACACCGAATCATTTTATTAGCAGACCCATTTTTGTGTTTATTTGTGCGTCGCCCGCGTGGCGCAGTGATCAGAGCGTCTGCTGTAGAATCGCGAAGGAGTCAATCCTTACGTCGCGGGTTCGAATCCCACAGTGGGACGTGGAGACCGGTATTCGGATGAGACTGTATAAACCGAGGTCCCGTGTCGCAGTAGGTGCCGGCACGATCCCTCACTGCTCAATGGCACTGAGTACCGAGTATACGACAAAATTTGTAGCTCTCCACCGGCAAATGTTGGCGTCTCCATATGAGTGAAAAATTCTTGAGAGGGACATTAAACAACAATCAATCAGAATATGTGCAAAGTCTTATGCATGATAAGGAGAAAACACTTGCTGTGGCCTTCAACATTTAGATATATAGGCGACGTATTGTCAATTTACAATTAAAGACCACTAGAATTTTAAACGTCAATTTTTATTTATACGTCGATACGATACAATATATATCCTGGTGGGTTTTTTTTTTTCTTGATCATTGAGGACATTTTGACTTCTTCTTGCTTTTGTTCCCTGGCTATCTTTCAATTTTTCTGAGCTTTGATGACTTTTTGATTCTTCTGAGCCAAAGTCGTTGAGGAAGTTGCCAGGTTCAAAGGAGGAGGGAGACCCCCCTACATATCTAGGTCGTTCAGGAAGTTCAAAGAAGGAGGGAGGCATAGAGCAGACAAAAACCTTTGAGAGTAAGGATAAGGACAGAACGTCAAGAAAATCAGGGAGACAGGCAGAAGTGCTGGTGTCTGAAGCTTCTGATGACAACACAGAGAAGAACGTTATTCCAGGGGGACAGGTATGTGAAATTTAAAAAAAAAAGGTTACTTACTCACAGTGAGATAGTGTAACATGAAATAAATTTGAGCAACTGTTATAAACATATTTGCGGAAAGAAAGACATTTTCAATAGTAGAAATAAGAAGGAAATGTATGGTACACTATATTCTTCGTTAAGAATATATACAGTGGACCTTCAGATATCCGGACCCCAGATATCCGGATGCTTCAGTATCCGGACAATTTTCATCGGGACGGAATTTTTAAATGTTATTCTGTCTTGTTTAACTGGTGATTCTGGTATCTGTACGCTTCACATATCCGGACAAATTGACTGGGAACC